ATAAAAAAATTTCATCCATACTTATACGGAAATAAATTCATATTAATTACAGATCATCAACCATTAGTACAAATTTTCTCTCCAACCAAATCTTTACCAATTTACAGCGCAATGAGAATGCAACATTACGCCTTATTCCTACAAGGATTTAATTACGATATTAAATACAGAAATACAAAAAATCATTCAAATGCTGATTGCCTTTCCAGACTTCCACAATCGCATACGCGAGAATTACAATTTGATGTAGTAGATGTTTTTCAAATACAAACAATAGAGACGTTACCAGTAAATATCGCTGAACTACAAAAAGAATCAGTGAGGGATAAGGAATTAAGTACAGTGATAAATAAATTACAAAAAGGTGAGCTAAAAGAATCTATGTTATTTAATATAGACATAAAAGAATTTAGTGTACAACAAAATATTTTATTACGAGGACACCGAGTAGTTTTACCAAAGACACTACGAAATCGCGTGTTACAAGAATTACATTTGGGGCATTTTGGCATCGTAAAAACGAATGCCTTAGCTCGCAGTTATTGTTGGTGGCCAAATATCGATCACGATATTGAGAATCTTATTAAAAGCTGTAGGTAACGCTTGTCAACAAGTTCGTAATAACCCAAAAAAAGTAGAAAATCACATTTGGGAACTGGCTCGTGCTCCATTTGAAAGAGTACATTTCGATTTCGCAGGACCTTTCCATAATAAATATTTCGCAATTTTAATTGACGCATACTCAAAATTTCCATTTGTAAGAATATTATCAGATATTACAACACTGAGTACAATAAAATTTTGCAGAGAAATTTTTGCAACATTTGGAATACCCCAAGTTTTTGTGAGTGATAATGCTACACAATTATGTTCACATGAATTTAATAAATTCCTTTTTAGTAATAATATTATTCATGAAAGAATAGCGCCGTTCAATCCTGCAACTAACGGACAAGTAGAAAGATTTGTACAAAGTCTGAAGAAAAGTCTAGTTAGTTTAAATATAGATTCCCGAAATACAGATGAGGTAAATCTACAAAGAATGTTAATGCATTACAGAATTACACCACATAGTACAACTAATAAAAGTCCTTCAGAATTATTGTTTGGTTGACAAATTCGAAACAGATTAGATTTAATGTTACCAAATGCAATTTCAACGAAAATACGAGGTAAGCGCCAATTATTCTCGGCCTGATATATTTGCGATTATGCGGCTGAAAATTTGTATAACTCATAAAATACTAGAAGGTCCCAGTAGTCTGTGTGCAAAATTTTAACTGTCACTTCCCATTAGTTTTGACCGTCGTCTTCGTTGATTCACTATTAAAGTCTCTCCAATTGGTTACAATCGTCCGACTTGTCAAAAGGGAAAATATCAAAAGATGTCACCCCCTTCGGGAGTTACAGGAACCTGTAATTAATCCGTTTTGTTACAGATCTGCCATTGAGAAAACCATGCTGTAAATCAGATAATAGAAAAATCAGCTTTACAAAAGTTAAAAGATTTTAATCCGAGATTATGCAAGGGCTTGTCATAGAACATTTTCGTTCTAATTAAATTATTTAAATTAATTACTAAGGCAAATTGTATTTTATATTGTACAACAGTGCAATCTACACAAAAAGCTAAAACTAACCTTACCCATCTCCGCTTTTGAATTTCATTGGCTTTTTTAATTAGATGGAAATTGAATTTTAATTTGTTGTGTGGCTGAATCTACTTAGAAAAATTCAAATTCAGTCAGACCATGACAGATATTTAGCCGACATTACAGATTCCTTTCCCTCCCGACGTATACGCCCTCACATGTCACATTTAAGGGATTGGAGAGACTTTAATAGTGAATCAACGAAGACGACGGTTTTGACACAGTTGAGGCGTAAAGTTAAAAAAATTATGGACTCATCATACCTGGTCAAAATTGAACATCGAGCGGTGATAAAGTTCTTAACCAAAGAAGGAATTGCTCCAAAGGATATTAAGGACAGGATGATTGCGGTGTTTGCCGAAGCTTGCCCTTCATATTCAACTATAAAAAAATGATCGCAAATATTTCGTATGGGGTATGAAAGCCTTGAAGACGAACCTCGCTCTGGTGGGCCAATAGAAGTGACTACTCAAGAATCAATCGACACTGTAGAAGACATTGTGCCAAATGATAGGCGTTTGAGAGTATGGGAAATAGCAAAAATGTCAGGACTTTCAGACACGACAGTTCGCCGCATTTTACATGAGCATTTAGGCATGAAAAAGGTAAGCGCAAGATGGGTTCCTAAACTGCTCTCTGTCGTTCAAAAGCAGTATCGAGTGGATTGCGCTAGATCATTTTTGAAGCTGTGTGAAGGCCAGCAGAAAAAAGTTTTGCAGTCAATTGTTACGGGAGACGAAACGATGGTCCTTTACCATGATCCCTTGTCAAAAAGAGAATCTATGGAATGGCGATTTCCTGGTGAACCCCCGCCCAGAAAAGCAAAAGTCACTCAATCTTCCAAAAAAATCATGGCCACGATTTTTTGGGACTGTGAAGGCATATTGTTGATTGATTTTAAAGAACGGAATACTACTGTAAACGCCACATATTATGCTTCCTTACTGCATGAATTACGAGCAAGTATTCGGGAAAAACGACCAGGAAAATTAACAAGAGGTGTTCGCTTGCTTCATGACAATGCGCCAGTGCACACCGCATGGGTTGCTCAAGCTGCTATAAGGGACTGTGGCTTCGAACAACTTGATCACCCACCCTACAGCCCAGACTTAGCTCCGAGCGATTATTATTATCTGTTTTCCAAGTTGAAAAAAGACTGTCGGGGAAAACGTTTTACGACGGATGAAGAGGTGCAGTCGGCAGTACTGCATCATTTTCGGGATAAGGATTCAAATTATTTTTTAAAAGGGATAGAGTTGTTAGTTAAGCGTTGTCTTAAATGTATTGAAGTTAATGGAGATTATGTTGAAAAATAAATATTTAATTTTTTCGCAACACGTTTCTTTCCTAGGTAGGCCGAGAATTTGTGGCGCTCACCTCGTAAGTAATGTTAACAAAAATAATAAAATTAGAACTGTATCAGTAGGTGATAGAGTACAGTGTAGAAATTATACGTCAAAACAAAGATGGTGTGTAGGAAAAGTTGTTAAAAGATTAGGAAAATTTCACTATTTGATTCAGCTAGACGATAATCGTACCTGGAAACGTCACATTAATCAAATTATTAAATTGCCTTTAAATGATAATCAAAAAGTCCATTTCGACACAGTGTTCTCGAGAAACAATGTACCGCCAAGTAACCAAGTTGATAACTACAATTCACCTATGCTTACACCTGGCATACCTGATGGAAGAACGTTACCAAGGTTTCCAAATTCAAATAATCATAATGTTCCAAATGAAACTAGACAGGTTTCTGAAGTAACCAATGTTACATTTAGCCAAGATATTGTAACCAGTCCGGAACCAACGCCGGTAGTTAGTCAACCCAGCATTCCACAAATAGTCGCAGAAACGAGGCCCAAAAGATGGAATAGAGGTTGCTTACCGAGAAGATTATTAGATTTCGAAGTAGGAAAGTAGAAATGAAGAAAGTTGGGAATTTGAAGTTGTCCTGACAGGAGATGGTGTTAGATATCTAGTATGTTTATATTAGTAATGTTAGATATCTAGTAGGATATATATAGACTTACTTTTATTATGTAAATAAATAGTTACGAGAATTGAATATATAAAATAACACTCCAATTTGTACGGACGATAAATAAAGAGATTTATCCAATACACCGTTTATTATACAAACATAACACTTCTCAAAGGAAGAAATGATTCGCTTGGAGATTGTTCTTGTCGCCAACTTCCTTCGATTAATTGCCCATTTTCTTCATAGTCCAGTGTTCCTCTAGGAGTATATAAGTCACGTGAAACTTTACTTTGTCTTAGGAAATTGTGTAGGTAAAGAGTTGTTAACACAACCAGTGCTGCTTTATTTGGTTCTAGTAACATTGGTTTCCGTAATACTCGGAAAACAACAGAGACAATTCCAAAAGCATTTTCAACCACTCGTCGTGCTTTTGACAGTCTATAATTGAAAATTCTTTCCAAAGAACCTTTTTTATGTAAACCTGCATTAGGTTTCATAACATGTTCATGCAGTGCGAATGCATCATCACCTAGAATAACATATGGTATACTCTTCTCTTGTCCTGGAAGAATGGCTGGTTTAGGAAATGCCGAACTATTATCTTCTATTTTCTTCCATAACAAAGAATTTTTGAAAACGCCTCCATCTGAAATGCGGCCCTGACAACCGACATCCGCAAATACAAAGTTATAATTTGCATCTACTAATGCGAACAAAACGATACTAAAAAATTATTTATAATTGAAGTATTCACTGCCGCTGCCTACAGGAGCCTGCAGAACTACATGTTTTCCGTCTATCGCACCTAAGCAATGCGGAAAATTCCATTGCTGTTCAAATTCCCTTGAAATTTGTAACCATTTCTCTGTAGTAGACGGCGTCTGTAAATAATAATACACTAATTAGAACGAGTACCACTGATTTAAACAAAAATGTAATTGTTTTGCTACTATATCTAAAAGGTCGTTTAGCCTACATGTTTGCGAGACGCTAAATGTCATTTTAAACATAAGTCGTGGTGAAACAATTTGATATATGTTTTTTGACACTTCATTTGAGATCACAGAAAAATTATACACTGAGTTTCAAATAAAATGCACCACTTAGAAAGGGTAGACGTAAAGGACTGAAGCCTTGTAACTGTTTTTCCTGACCTCTTCGACATGCTCTCAAGTTTGCTGAATGAGTACCTACCAATTTTCAGCCCTTCTATGTGTTCTTTTTACTTGAAACATAGGTGGTGCATTTTATTTGAAACTCAGTGTACTATACAATACGTTTTATAAACTTCTCTATAAGCTAACTTGTGACTTTTAAAAAACTTGTTGCATATTGCATATCATCATTGATTGTTTTTATGCTAGGATTCAAGTGTTGGGCCTGATCCTGACAGAAGAAGCGATTATGAGTCAGAAGTTGAGGTTCCAAATGAAACTGAATCGATAAGCCACGAAAGTGCAGTTTCAGAAGAAGCAGTACCTCCCACTGAAAACAATACAGAGCCGTCCGCTCGTAAACGTAAAGTGTTTCTGTCCCCAAAGAGACACCAAGGAAAAAAAAGGGAACAGGAGGATCCAAGATTATCAGCTGCTTACAACATACTTCAGAATGTGGCCAATGCTCCCAAAGATGAATGTTCAACTTTTGGGAAGCATGTAGCCACCAAACTTAAAAAATTTGATGATAGAGTTCGTTCTGTTGTCATGCACCTCATGAACAACATAATTTTTGACGCTGAGATGGGAAAATACAATAATTACGGCCATTCCTCTGTTCAAACACCACCACCATATGCTCAGGAACCTTCTGCTTACGTTCATACTTTATCACCATCATCTACTTATTCTGCGCATTCTATTCAGTCACAAGGCTTGTCTAATTCTCAGTTTTCGGACAGTCAAAGTTCTTTGACTCCTTTACAAAATGATGTACATTCGTTTGATGATGCTAATAACACATAAATATTGCTTTTTTATGTATAAATAAAATGTATAAATAAAATTAATATATTTTCTTACCTTAATGTAGTCTTTTAATCTTCAATCAATGCCTCACAAACTTCAATAATTATTGTAGAGATACTCTGCTTGGAGATTTTGAAAGTATACATTAAGCTGGTGTATGAGTCTCCAGTAGCTAGAAACCGAAGCGTCACAGCTAATCTTTCTTTGACGGGGATAGCCGACCTATAATTTGTATTTTGTTTTTGAATTTTAGGGGCGATTAAATTTAATATAAATTCAAAGTCACTTGACGACAGACGGCAAAAATTTTTAAATTGTCCGGTATCTTCAATTGACAGGTCACTTAACAAATCACTGCCACTGTACACGTTTCTACTTCGGAAAAGACGTGTCATCCAGTACCGTCTCTTCATTCTTCTTTTTTGTTTTTTTTTATTACGCAATGAAACACACAAAATTATGAAAGCAGCTGCCGCAATTTTTGTGCGTTCGTCCTCCATATCGTTGAACAAGTGATCGACTACTACTCCGCGCACTCATCTACAAAGCTGGAACCTTGGGGAACACGTACATTTTTAAAAAACGTTGCAGCAATTTAGACGTTAACGCGCAAATCGTATGTGAACGTTTGTGATGGTTCGCGAACGTTTTGCACGGTATTGCGCTGCGGTCTGGACCCGCCTTAAGGACCGATATGAAAAGGCTTATAAGGAATTTTGGACATGGTGCAATGAAAAGCAAGTAAAGAAAGTTTCAGAAGTAGCTGTATTGGCGTAACAGTTGTACTATCACCGATAAAACGAGGCTGAAGTTGGATCTGAACAAAAGGGGGCAGCAAATGTTAGCAAGGTGTTTGAGATGAAAACCACTGAAGGGACAGATCGAAATGAAAGCAATGAGAAAAATAACTATATAAATTGTTCTTTTACATTTAATATAAATGATTGTAATCATCAATCAATAAATCTTTGAAATGTACTTACATTTTGCTTCCCGCACTAGTGCGGAAAAGTATCACTTTCCGCACGGGTTAGCGTGCGGAAACTAGTCACTTTCCGCACGCCGTTAGGAAATAGTAATTTACACAAATAGTTCGGGATAGCCTGCTTCCCGCATGAACGCTTGTTTGCGGCACGACCGAAGGGAGTGACGCATTTGCGTGAATGCGGGAAGCAGGCTCACGAACGTGTTGTGTACAATATTTTTTGCAACGAATAAACCTTTAAACTGAATAGATTAACTGTGAGTTATTTATAAACAACGGCATTGACAGCGCCGTCAACACGTCACAATGTTGACACTACCCGAGTATTTTAAGGTTACCATGGCAACGGAAAGTTAAAATGCACGTGTGCAGGAAGTTCGAACTCCCGCACCCTGATGAATGCGCGAAAGCCATCAAAAAAGGTCATGAGTGCAAAAATGTATTTAAAAAGGTGTTTAAACAATTTCAGATCTAATGTTCTAGAATTCTGGAAAGAAGCGTTAGATTTACCATTACTCAGAAACCTTGCTACGGAAATTTTAAGTATACCTATAAGTTCCGCCACAAACGAAAGAGTATTTTCTACTTCGGGTCGCATTTTGGAAGAGAGGAGTACAAGACTTCTAAGCGAAAATGTCGACCAAATATTATTTTTGAATAAAAATTTGTAATCATACGTTATGCTTTATGTTTTCCTTTTGTCACTTGAAAATTGAAATAAAATTAACCCAGTAAACACGAAACATTTATGAAACATTACGAAACATCCCAAACGCGTATAATTTGAAACGTTCCAGTGTAACATTTCATAAACAAACGTGCAACCTAAATAGAAACGTTTCAGGCACATTTTTGCTGAAACGTTTCTCAAACGTTCCTCTTGAGACGCATTTAAAACATTCTTCAGAGCGCTTGCGCACTGCAATTTTGACAGAGGAGTATTTTGTTATTGCGCATCGTGCTAGAACGACGGATTCCCGCGAAACGTTCGTGTTTTGTGAAAAAATAAGTACCATAAAGGTTCTTGAATCGGTATTAGTTTATCGTATTAACGTATAATAACCTACTGTATATTAAAGGTACTATTTTTATTAGTACATCATATGTATATGTGATTTGCGTAGTTGTAGCGTCAACATATATGTCGGAACAACATGTCGCAAGAGGAAAAAGAATTACTTGAAGAAAGGCATGTAAGTAGCTTATTCTCTAATCGAACAAATAAACTTGTGGTCAGTAAACGGCATCTCCGAAGATTAGTACGTAACAATATTTGCAAGCCATACACCCACGGATCCACAAAGAGTACAAGTACTGATTTAAAATTAAGTAGCCAAATTTGCAGTGTAAAACACCAAAATAAATTCAACGTGCAATTGTGTAATCATCTTGATCCCGCAAAAAATATTCCATCGGCAAATTGTTACAGTATTGCTGTTGCCTCATCCGTTGATGACACGTATTGTGAACGTCGGCGATTTTCGCCGCCGCAGAAATCAACACAAGAAATAAATAGCTTCACATCTGACTTTACTCTTAATAATGCATTGCCATTTCTTGACACTCATGAAAATCCAGCTCATGAACGCCCGAATAATACTTTCGTGAATGATATTCGTAATTGGATACTTCAATACCGAACATTGCTCTCTCAACAAGCTATTAATGATTTGCTGCAAATTTTAAGACAAGGTGGTTACAATTTACCCAAAAACGCTAGAACTCTATTGCAAACGCCCAGATCATGTAATATTATTGATGTACTTGAAGGGCATTATTATCACTTCGGGGTTGCGCGTGGAATTTTAAATAATTTAACTGATGTCCAGACAGTAAAAGAGAACGATATTTTAAAACTCAGTTTAAACATAGATGGGTTGCCACTGACTAAAAGCTCTACTAGTCAATTTTGGCCCATATTATTATCAATAGAGTCAAGATTATCGCCTCCATTTATTTGTGGAATATATCACGGTATGAAAAAACCAAGCGATGTTAGTCAGTTCTTAAATGAATTTGTCCAAGAATTCAAATTTTTAGAGCTAAATGGTTTAGAGGTTGGCAAAACAAAAATTTTTCCTAGGATTTCTAAGATTATCTGCGATGCTCCTGCCAAGGCATTCATTTTAGGTGTCAAGGGTCACACAGGCTACCATGGCAGGGCTCTCACTTAAACTTGGCAATAAAATATGAAAATATGAACCCATGAATTTGAAGAATATGAACCAATATGAACCCGTCAGATTTGCAGGCTGTGCCATTTTTGCGTATCCTGTCCTAAAAACGGAATATACAGGTATTTATTGTCCAAAATGTTCACACTGACCAATACAAATAACTCTTACAGAAAATCACATGACAAAAAAATGTAAACTTTATTTAAAATCTCATAAGCAAACAAATAGGAAAAATTTTAATTTAAAAATAATAAAAACAAAATAAAATATACATAAGAAAAGAACAAAATATTTGTAATAATAACTTTTAAAATAACAATATCTCTTTGTAATAACACAAATTAAATAAAATGAGGAATAAAATCTTATTCTGAAGACTTTTTTTTCTTATCAACTAGTGCACTAATTACAGTACTCTTGCGCTTCAAAATATTGGATTGTAATTTGTCCGTTTGCTTGATTTTTTGTTTTTCGTCTTTTCGTTGCTCAATAACTGAATGCAGCAACACGCCAGCGATTTTCACGTCTGATCCGCACTCTGTAGACTTTAAAACTTTTTTAATGGCTTTATTTGTTTTATCTAGTAACCGATCAACAGTTAACTGACAAACTGTTTTTTCTTTATTTACCGTCTTCAACTCATTTTCCAGTTCTTCAATTCTTTTTTGTTTATTTTCAAACAATTTCAACTGCTCTTTTTCTCTTTCTTTTTCTTCTATAATTTTTTTATTTTCCAATTCTAATCGTTTTACTTCCAACTGCTTTTCCTCCAAATATCTTTTATATGAATTTGATGCTAATCGGGTCATATTCATAAGCTCTGGTGTAATATGAAACAGTTCAGGACGATTGTCTACCATGTTTAATGCGTCAATAATGTAAAGTTTGTGATTAAGGGTTCTTAAAGACATTGACGTTCTATCTTCGCTTAAAATGCGTCCAGACAATGAAAAACCTCTTTCCACATCAGCACTGCCGTGAACTAAACTTAGACACATTTTCACAACTTTTGAAAGTTCCGGATATCTATTTTCGTCCATACTTGACCAGAAGGTATCTACAGGACTTGTTTCAAAAGAATCTAAATTTTCTGTATTTACAAACATTGTAAATTCTTCAACCACAGATTCTTTGTTAATGTTACAAGGTAATTTATCACAAATTCTAGTTACGTAATAACTTGGTACTTCTTTAATCATGAACGGATTTAAAAATGAAAAATATTTCAATTCCTTTAGCCTCAGTGGTGATTTTGTTAAAATATACTTCGATGACGCAATATAAAATTTCTGCACGTTTTTTAGCATAATAATTTTTTCATTTTTCGGCAATTTTCCAATAGAATCCTCACAAACAATTATCGAATCCATAGGCAGTAAGTTCTCTGTTGTAAATATTTTGTCAGGGTATTGTACAATTCCTCGAAAGTCTTTCAAAACATTCGGTTTCAAAATCTTGGTCAGCAGTTTTATAGTTAATGATCTCAGTTTATCGTACATAATATGTATAAGAGGTTCTGTCGTTTGGAAGAAACCAGTATATGTAGTAAAGTACTTTGCAACGCTACTTACAAATTCTAATTCAGTTTTAAAGTTTTTAACTTTGAGATAAGCTGCAACGTCTTTATAATGCTTCGTATTAATTAAAGATGAGCGGTATTTTGGAATGAATTTTAAAAAGTATTCTTCCAACGCTTCGTACTGTTCCAAAATACGGTCAATGGCGGGTCCTATCGTAAGCCACCGTGTCGATATATGTTTTAAAAATTTATGATTTGGCAATGAATGATTCTCTTGAATTTTACTAAAGTCTTCATTTCTCAATGGCCATCCATCAAAAAAATAATATATGGAAATTATAAATTCACTAGCATGCGAACCAAATGCTTGGAGACCCTTTAAAAAAGCATTGTGGACCAAATGAATGCTACAGGTGCCAATGTCAATTAATGGTTTACGGTTTAAAGCTTTTATTTCTTCATTTACTAATCTAGAGACTTTGATGTTAACATTGGGTCCGTCGCTACCTAACATTAACAATTTTTTCAAATGCAGCCCTGCATTATTTAAAGAATTGATGATGTATTCTTTTAGTGTTTCAGCTTTAGCATTCCCAAGAAAAAAGGTTTCAAGATGTTTCACAACAATTTTTTTTTCCTTCTCGGAATAAAATCTTAAGCAAATTTGCAATTCCTTTAAGTCCTTGTTGTTGGTTGTTTCATCATATTGCAAACTGAAATAATTTTCTCTCAAATCTTGTACAAACATATTTCTGCAATAAGGACCCAATGCCTCAGAGATAATGTAGGAAAGTTTTGTTGGAGACAATGAAAAATCAGTCGGTAATGTTCCAAACATTGCTTTGAACACATCCACTATACCCTGAGTTGATGCAGCGGACATATTGCTTGCTACATTTTTGAGACACCATATGATTTCCGCTCGAGTAGCGCTCTCACGCTTAGAAATCATATTTGCGCTTAAACTTGAAGTTAAATTATCTATTATAAGAAAAATGATGATAATATTAACATTTAAACTTTACCGTTGACTTACTTGTGAAGTTTAGTTGTACAATATTCAGTTTACATTTAACATTATCTTTATGTATTTTTGTCTGAACGTGTTGATTTACGCTAGCGAATCCACGAACAACAGAAAAATTTCGATTGCAAAGAAAGCAAAACATGTCATCAACTTCTTTGCCTCTTTGTCCCCACTTCGACACTAATGTTCCGGTTTCATCCTTCTTGTTTAGCCAGTCACTGTTAAATTTGCACTTGCCCATCTTAATTTTTCAGTAAATAACTAATAATGTAATAAATGCACGATAAGTAATAGAGTATTAACAAAAACAAGAACTTACTTAGTTGGGTTATGGTTAGAACTAAACTTATTGCAAACTGCGGGGACTACAGGTGCACTGGTGCACCGATTGTTTCACCGGATGTGCATGGCTTTACCGGTTAAAATTGTCTCGCCGCGACTATTCTAACCTACTCTCGCATGATGCTGTGTGCAGCAAGAAAAAGGACAGACAAAAGGTCCACGCATGCATGTTTGGCCCTCCAGTGGCGTAGCGTGTATTTTGCTCCTACATAAATATCTATTTCACTTACTATAATGAAAATGTTAAAAATTATTGTCAAATATCAAAAATTTGTTGCTGTGTTGGTGTTTTTTATTTAGTATGCTTTTAAACTATAATGTTATTAAATTTAATTTTTATACGAACTAATCAATATGAACTTTTATGAACAAATTCATACCAAATATGAAATAATAACGACTTACATTAAAAATATGAACTTTTTCATAACATATGAACCAAGTGAGAGCCCTGCCATGGTTGTACGAAATGTATTGATCAAGGCGAGTACATAAATGGCAGAGTAACTTTTCAGAGTTTGGTTTCTCCGTTGCGCACAGATGATTCCTTCAAAAACAAAGAAGATGATGATTTTCATTTGTATAATAGTCCACTTGAAAATTTAAACGTAGGGCTTGTTAGTAACGTATGTTTGGACTACATGCATCTTGTGTGCTTAGGTGTGATGAAACGGCTAGTACTTTTTTGGGTGAAAGGTAAAAAAGATGTTAGAATTCCTGACTCGAAAATGGCCATTTTATCTAAAAACATCTTGAAGCTTAAAAAAGTTATACCTATAGAATTTGCAAGAACTCCTAGAAGTCTTCTCGAAGTCGATCGTTTTAAAGCAACAGAATTTAGACAACTGTTGCTGTATACAGGACCAATAATATTAAAGGATGTTTTACCCCGAGACAAATTTTTACATTTCATGTCGTTACACACGGCTATTCGTTTTCTGTGTTCACCTGAATTGTATCTTAAATATAACAACTCAGCTTGTGATTTATTACGTTATTTTGTAAAAAATTTTGGTGCATTATATGGGAAGGAATTTGTTTCTTATAATGTACACAATTTAATACATTTGCCAAATGACTGCTTGCTTCATGGTAATTTGGATGAATTTAGCGCTTTCAAATATGAGAATTATTTATACAATATTAAAAAAATGGTCAAAACTTCACGTCGACCATTACAACAAATTGTTTGCAGGCTGACCGAAAGACTACAATTAAATGAGAAGACTGGTGTCAGTTATCCCCAACTAGAATATGAAGTAGAAAATCAACTGAATGAAAATATTACATGCTTTAAGAAATTAAAATTGAAAAATTTTCAAATTATAATAAATGACAAAGATAACTTTGTCCTTTTAAGTGATAACAGTATATTTTGTGTCAAGTATATTGCTAAAAATTTCAACAATAACATTTTTCTTTATGGCAAAAAATTATATCCGCTATCATCATTGTACACTGAACCTTGCAATTCTCAAGAATTTTTTAATATAGTAACAACACAAAACCATTTATCTCAAGATTTGTGTAAGATACAGTGTGACGATATTAAACAAAAATGCCTGAAGTATATCATCAATGAAGAAACGTTGGTTTTTATACCACTATTGCATAACGAGAAACAATAAATCACGTTCATCAGGTTCGTACTTGTTAATCTAATTATCTTTTAATTATAAATTTATTTTGTATAAGACGAAACTGGTGTGTATGCAGTAAAAAATTATGAACTAAAATTTGTACTGGTGTCACGAAAAACTAGGGCAGCTATTTATAACATACTGTTGTAATATTTTAGAAAATTTTAAGCAGCATCACTAAGGTTGTAAAGTCTTTGTGATTTTACGGTTAACCATATATGCTTTTGCTGTTATTTATTAAGTATTTGTAAAAAGTATATTGGCCGAAGTTTATTTAAGGCATAAATAAAATTAATTACATTTTTAATACCAGCTAAAATTTCATAATGCTGATGAAAGAAATAGTTTTTACGCTAACAATTCCTACTTACAGTAGTCTTATCATTATAATTATCGTTTTAGTCTTCGTTTCTTTTTATTTGATTTGCTACTTAGATCAGCCCAGAAGTAAAACTACGATTGTGGGATATTTACTTACAACTAATAATATTTAAACATCATTCGTACAGCAATTGGTGTTTCATCAGAAATGGAAATAATCATTATAGCACTAAAATAGTGCTTGTTCTCTCTCGTTAATTTGTCGTTCCAGTGGACTGTTGTTGAATTCACCAAGGACGACGATTATCGGGAAATATCCTGCATTCCCAACAATTGGGTCTTCAGCAAAAACGACGAAGTATTTTCGTTTTGGCCGAAGAGGAATATACGAAAACATATCAAAAATGCAACTCCCCCAGAAAAGCAATGGGACGATTGGCCGGCAAGGGTAATGCTTAAAAATAGCGGTATGCATATTTTTTCGCGTTGTTACGTACTGTTTTTAACATTTTAATTATAGTATCATATAAGGAAGCTATTTCCTTTGAGAAAAAAAAATGAAAAGGTAACTGAGTCAGAGGGAGAAGAAGTTTGTTGGGGAATATTTGTTGATTCCCAACTGCTTGTGCTTTTACAAGCAGTTCTGTTGAAGCACTGGAGAATTAAGTCACGGGGTACTTTCGAACAATGTTGTATTTCCTAACTCTCTTACAGTACTAACTTAAAACTAGAATGAAAATGAACAAGACACCCCCGATGCGTGCGCACGGGGTGGGGGAAATATTAGAAAATAGCGTCAAATCACAACATGCTCCCCGCGCTGAATTTAAAATTAGATAAAATTTAATTCAGTCTGTACAAGGCACTGCACACACTTTCGTAATTGGCCTTTTATACACTCCGCGCACAGTTTTTACACTTAACACTCTGCATTGACCGTCCTGCCCGGGATGTAATGCAGTAATCCTAGCGAGGGGCCATTGTAACGGTGGAGTGTTGTCCTCTTTGAGGATGACGAGATCTCCTGGTGCAGGTTGACGGGCCGGTAAACGATTCCACTTGCATCGCTGTTGTAAAGTGTGCAAGTACTCCCTAGACCATCTTTGCCAAAAGTGTTGCCGTAGTTGTTCCACCAGTTGGTAACGGGTGAGGCGATTACAGGGCACGTCCACGAGGTTGGGTTCCGGAGCGGCGATCAGGGGGGCACCAATCAAGAAGTGTCCGGGCGTCAAGGCGTTGAGATCATTCGGGTCATTGGAAAGAGGGGTTAAGGGACGTGAGTTCATGCAGCTTTCGATCATTGCCAACAAAGTGCTCATTTCATCAAAATTTAATAATGTTTTTCCTATAACCCTCTTAAGATGACCTTTGGCGGTTTTGACAGCAGCCTCCCAAATTCCACCCATATGCGGGGAATGTGGAGGTATAAAATGCCACTGTATATTTTGAATGCTAAGGATATCTATTACGCTCGATCTAAACTCACTACTTTCAAATAATGTCTTTAATTCATGCAGATGGCGATTAGACCCTACAAAGTTAGTGCCATTGTCAGAGTATAAATGACTCGGTTTACCCCGGCGTGCTATAAATCGCTTAAGTGTATTCAAGAAAGTGAGGGATGAGCACCCGCAAACCATTTCAATGTGAACCGCTTTGGTACTAAAGCAGACAAATATTACAATGTAGACTTTGACTGTTTTGGTGGTACGCCCATATCCATTTTTTATAAGAAAAGGACCTGCATAGTCCACTCCGGATATACTAAATGGCCGCGAAGGCGTAACTCGGGACTTCGGAAGATTTGACATTAAGTGTTGATAAACAATGGGTTTGACACGATAACATTTTAGGCAATTAAATATCACTCCGCGAACGGTTGCGCGAGCTGCAATGGGCCAATATTTTTGTCTTAAGGCAGATAGAGTCGCTTGACACCCCGAATGCGCGCTTTCATCGTGATATTTTTTTATTATTAACTTGGTGACTGGATGATTTTTGGGCAGTAATAATTGATGTTGTTGATCAGGTAACAGTTCCGAATTATTTAATCGACCGCCGACTCTTAAGAGTCCGAATTCATCTATGAAGGGGTTTAAATTTAGAATTTTGCTGTTTTTAGAAAGTTGTTTGTGATGCCGTAAATTGTGCAGGTCTTCCGCAAAAACTTCGGATTGCAAGCTCTTGATTACGACATCGTGGGCCCGTTGCAATTCTTCACAAGTTAAAGAACCCTTTATGGTGTTTTTCTTGTTTGTTACGCTATGCTTAAAACGCAAAATATAGGCAGTGACTCTGATAAGTTTCACCAATGAAGAAAATCTATGTAGTAAATGAAATGGATCCTCAGGCTTTTGATTAACGATAGATAAACAACAAACCGCCTTAATTTCGGGAATCACTAACTGCGGATGTTCTTTAGCCGTAAAATTGATGTGCTCTGTATTGGTTTGAAGAAATTCGGGTCCATGCCACCATAGGAGCGACTGATTTAACCGAGACGGAGTACAGCCCCGTGACAGAATATCGGCGGGGTTTTTGTTTGACGGTACGTAATGCCAATCAGCATCTGCCGAAAGTGACTGTATTTCGGCGATGCGGTGAGAGACAAAAACCTTTAAGGTCGCGGGGTTTAAACTTATCCACGACAAAACAATCGATGAATCCGTCCAGTAAAATTTTTCTCGAATCGCCACATTAAGAATCTTTGTCACCTTATCTAACATACGAGCTAATAACAAGGCCGCGCATAATTCTAAACGTGGAATTGTTAAACATTGTAACGGAGCTACCTTACTCTTAGCGCATAACAGATGGGCCCGATAAATACCCATTGAATCCCTCGTGCGCAAATATACACAGGCACCGTAGGCATTTTGGCTAGCGTCGCAAAACCCATGAAGCTGCACAGCCTCCAAAGTGTGAATAACTCTACGCGGTATTGAGATATTATCTAACGCACCGAAATTTTTAACAAAACTTTCCCAAATTGTATGTAAATCGGCAGGTAAGCTTTCGTCCCAATTAATCTTCAAAGCCCAAATTTTCTGTAGGATAATTTTAGCGGTTACGGTTATGGGTGATACTAATCCGAGTGGGTCGAAAATCTTGGCGATGGTACTCAAAATTGCTCTCTTTGTTACTTGCGGTTGGGACGATATTTTACCATTCGTAGAGAACGTAATTGTGTCGGTATCGTTATGCCAAAGGACCCCTAATGTCTTTGTGGGTTGCTGTTTATCCAAGGACACGGTACTTTGCATATTTACCTGAAGATTACTCACTAAGCTGGGGCAGTTGGAATTTATTTTGTGCAATTGAAAACATCCCGATTGTAAAATGAAATTTACTTCTGTTAACAATTGTGAGGCTTGTTCAATGGTATCAGCCCCTGTAATGAGATCATCGACATAAAAATCGTTATAAATTAAATCGGATGCTCTGGGATATTGAAATTTTGACTGATTGGCGAGTTCTATTAAACATCTTGTGGCAAGAAAAGAAGAGCTAGCAAACCCATAAGTAACGGTGTTTAATTGATAAACCTTGACCGGTTCGTTAGTATTGTGACGCCAAAATATTTGTTGGTACTTCTTATGGTCATCATGTAACAAGATTTGACGGTACATTTTTTGCACGTCGGCCGTAATTACTATTTTGTGAGTTCTAAAACGAATCAAGATGCTGAAAAGGTCCTGTTGTAAGTTGGGCCCTGTCAGTAAGTTGTCATTTATTGACTTACTGTTGCTGGTTTTTAAAGACGCGTTAAAAACTACTCGCAGTTTAGTCGTGGGAGAAGATTCATTATAAACTGGGTGATGGCTTAAAAAATACCCTGAATTGTCTGGTTTTGGAATTTCAGACATGTGTTCGAGCGACAAATAAGCATCCATAAATTCTGAGTATTGTTTCAGCAATTGAGGATTTTTGTGCATCCGCCTTTCTAAGTTGTAAAACAATTTTAACGCTCGGTCCTTTGAAGTACTTATATTCGGAGGGTCGTTTATTAGGGGTAATTTAACTATAAAGCGTCCGTCTGCATTTCTGGAAAGACCTTCCGGAAAGTATTCTTCGCACAGGTCATTGCCACTAACAGGTGTACCTTCCGCGAATTCTTCTATTTCCCAAAATTTTTTTAGTTCATTATCCAGGGATACATTGATTACGTTACAAGAGGCCGTTTTCTGATTGTACCTAGCCGCGACAGCGCCCCCCACTATCCAACCAAAATGTGTTTTTTGTAATATTGGCCCTTGTTTACCAAGTCGAATCTGACCTATGCACATGAGATCCCAAAAAATCTCGTTACCGATTAAGAGATCGACCGGTTGCGACACATTGTACATAGGGTCGGCCAACTTAACATTTGGAGGTAAATTGGCGAGTGGCGGAAATTCTGTAGACGGTACGTTGCCTGTTATTTCGGGAACAATTAAAAAATCTAATTTGGCCTCAAATGCGTTACAAATGGATGAAATTTTGACCTTTACAGCTTGTTTAATAGTGGACGAAGTGCAACCTATTCCTATCAATGGCAAATTAATATTGTGTAAATTTTGTAATCCTAAGATTTTAACGGCTCTTTCAGTGATGAAATTTGAGACGGACCCGTTATCTAACAATATGCGAAATTGCACTTGTTTACCGTTCTTACCTAAAACATTAATAACTGCGGTAGAAAGAGTGATGTTTTTGTTAAGAATTTGCGCACAATTGCTACTGGTAATCTTTGATGAGGATGTTGACGGTTCTGATTCACTTGAAGAGTTTTCAAAATGCAACAAGGAATTATGGCGCTTATGGCACTTTCTACAATTACTAGAGGCGCAGGTTTCTAATTTATGTCCACCTCTAAGGCAGTTTACACATAATTTGCGTCTTTTAATTTCGGAATATCTCTGCTCTACAGATAAGTCCAAAAAACCTTGACAATTATAAATATTGTGTGATTGTTTGCAATACGGGCATATGGGTTGATTAACGGTAGAATTGACTAGATGTGAGGAACTACGATTATTAGGTATTTTATTAAGCTTCTGGAAACTACTTGAACCTGACTTGAAACTGTGGTTAGCTTCAAATGCCTCCCACATCTGGCATCTCTGCGTTAAAAATTGGAACATTGATTCCATATTTGGAATTTCGCTGGAAAGAGTGCTTTCCCATGCGACGGTCGTATGTTGATCAAATTTTGCCGCTATCATATGTAAGAGCAAATCGTCCCACTGGTCGGTGGGACGTTTAATGTTTTCTAGGGCCTTTAGATTTGTGTGTAAAGTCTGTAACATTGACCTAAGTGACTTTGAATCTTTATTGTTAATCACGGGCAACGTAAAAAGGGCGCGTACATGATGTTGTACTATTATCCGTTTGTTTTCGTATCGCTTTACCAATAATGACCACGCCGATTCATAATTTTCTGTAGACGGGGACAAATGCGCTATAGTTTGTTGCGCCTCTCCCTTTAGGCTGCCCTTCAGGTAGTGGAATTTTTGTATTGGATTCAGTTGACTATCGTGAATTAATGTTTTGTATGAATCACGAAAGCTGATCCACTCGGTAAATAAACCCGTAAAGGTGGGTAGTTGAATGTCCGGTAATTTTACGTTAGCTGAAACTGCGCTGCCGTTACTAGAATCGGTACTGTTGTTAATTACATTTTTTGCCTCGCTAATTATTTGATAATAATCGTCTTCGAAATTATTAAGCTCATCTTCTGTCGCTTGCGTTTCATCAAAGACATGTATTTGCGTATGATAATCCTCAAATTCTTGCAATAATGAATATATACCTTGCAATCGCACACTAATTTCGTCGCGTTTATTTTTGTTTTCTTCTTGATTTACAAAATTAATGAACCGAGTAAGTTTTCGTCTAACATTGGCTCTCTTAGATTTGAGGGCCTTGATTTCGTCCGCATTAGTCATAATTAACGAATTTAACTTATTACTTTTTACTAATTTAGCGAAAGAAAGATGAAACAATAGGTGTATGTGACACTAAATTGGCAATGACAAAGAGCACGCAGGAACTTAATAGGAATGGGATTATAGGACTGACCTCGCCTTTGCTGATGATGTCCACGGAGCTCCTCGCTGCTTTCACGCCGTATCACGTCGAAGTTGATCGACGTCGGTGTGTTTTTGATCATTATAAACCGAATTGAATATCCGGCTCGAAGGACCAATTAATATGTTGGGGAATATTTGTTGATTCCCAACTGCTTGTGCTTTTACAAGCAGTTCTGTTGAAGCACTGGAGAATTAAGTCACGGGGTACTTTCGAACAATGTTGTATTTCCTAACTCTCTTACAGTACTAACTTAAAACTAGAATGAAAATGAACAAGACACCCCCGATGCGTGCGCACGGGGTGGGGGAAATATTAGAAAATAGCGTCAAATCACAACAAAGTTCGTTCCAAGAAACGCAAACGAAAGGCAATTTGTCTTAAGGATTTTATAACTGATGTACTAGAAGAAGAGGAAGATGATCAAATTCCACCTCCGCCAAAAATTATTAAAGGTAAAATAGTACATAAAGTTTAAGTATGTCGCTTTAATTTTTATATTGTGTGGAAAAAAACCGTTTGTGTTTCAGCACCACCTTCGCCAGCTACGACAGTGCCTTCACGATCCCTAAATGATATTTGTATGTTAAAAACGAAGTGTGTTGTGTAATTTTTTATGTTTCATGATTTTAGTATCTGCCAAATCCTATGGTGACATTGCCACTACTTCTGGTGATACTTGTACGATAGATGACTAATAGAGTACGGTGCCAATCAATAAATTTCGGACACTAATGTCATTTCATTGTCATGAGTCTAATTTAACTACATGCAAATTTTGACGTGACAGTAAATTTGAAGTCCGAAATTTATTCGCCGGCCTTGTACATCTAATCGTTCATTTATATATTTGTTGTTCTGTTTTAGTATCAGTAAGAAGCTTGGAACGTAATAATAATGATTCACCTGCGACCTGTACGTTGATTACAATATCAAAACGTCGTACTTTAAGTTTTTAATTTTGTAGTATCGTTAGGTTCAGAAGTTAATACTTCTCCACAAAACTCCTTAATCATTACTGAACCATGTAATGTTGATGGTAAGTTTAAATAAAATTGAAACTGAAAATTACACATAGCTATTATATTTGTAGATCAAATTGTAGACAAACTAAATGAAATTATAAGAAAAACCACTCGGGTAGAAATTATGGTGAAAAGATTATTACAAAAAATTAGTAATGATCCTACACATACCCCATTACATAATACTGACAGTATTAGTAATACATGTATACAACCTTTTACAAAGTACCGGCTGTTATGTGAATACGAAGAAAGATTAAAATCTGGCGAGGACGCCAGAAAAGAACTGGTAAATATGCAATATCTAATGTGTTCATACGTATATATTTAAAATTTAAATCAAATAATTAGGACAACATTTTCCGCTTATGTGGAGGCAACTCCACTAAAGAAAATATAAAAAGGGGTTTGCGCCGCATATTTGATGATAAATTGGCTCGTAAATGCTCTTGGCTGGGTAGAAAAAATAATTTTCAAGTGTCTAACTTGATCATTATGGATGTACTAAAAAGTAATAATATGTATGTGTTTATTATTTTTATTGATTTAAAGTACATTTTAGATGCAGTTCGAAAAAATTTTCCGTTATTAACCGACAAAATATTTGAATTAACTGTTTCTACATGGCTGAGACAAGCAAATCTTCGCTTCACGAGAAAACTTGAGAAATAGTTGTATGTATAACTTTAACTTCCTGTCAGTATTTTTTTATATTTTTTGTATTTTGTTTTATTTTAACTGTGCACTTTGTAAGTTACTTTTGTTTAAAATTACCATATCATATATGTAATAAATACATATTCCAAAAAATTGAGTAGTATTATTCAGTGTTTATTTTATTTATTAAAAGAATTTTTTATTTAGTTATTTATGTATGTTTGTGGATTTAATGAATTCTACTAAAAGATATTAAAAAATAATATTTTGTTGAGGTCGTGATAAAAGAAGCCCGTATTTCGAACCCCAAACCAAATTTCAGTAGGTAAGTATATATGATAATATAATCCACATACACATATGTATATATGTCTAGTATTAAATTATAGCATAGCTATTAAAAATATACAGGTATTAATTTGTTGGTGAAACATTCTTGATACCTAAAAAGATGTTTTATACAAGATGTTTCAAAGCTGTTTTAAAAACGTTTCACATGAAATGTTTCAAAGAGGTTTCACATGAAACGTTTCAAATGAAACAGAATAAGGGTAGGACATTTTTGGTTGCCGGGATGTTCCAGAAATGTGTCCAGGCTCTGTGAGAAACGTTTCATGTTTCTGAATGATTGTTTTTGACACATTTCAGACACATAAAAAGGTTTACTGGGAATTGTACTTGATGTTTACCGAATGTAAATTAGCGTGAATGGCGTGAGTGCATGTGCGTGAGCGTGAGTGAGTTACCTCCTGAAAAATATTTTCAGTGCGTGAGCATAACGTAATGCGCCGGGAGCGTGATGTAAAATCGACTCACGTGCCCATCTCTAATGCATCAACTTATTCCCCTTATTCATACAGATTCATGGAACGTTATAATGTGCCGGGTGTAATTGGGTTTGTGGATGGCACCCATATTGCAATAACAAAGCCAACATTAAATACTGAACACCAGTGCCTAAACAGTAAAGGTTTTCATTCAAAAAACGTTCAGATTGTATTAATTATCTCTTTTTGATGATTTTCTTGATTTAAAAGTAAAATTTCCTAGGTCTGTGGTCCAAATAATAAAATATTTGGAATAAATGCCGCACATGGGGGTGCAAGCCATGATGTGTTCATTTGGCGGCAAAGCAATATTGCTCAGATTTTGGAGCAGAGATTCACAGGGGGTGATAGAACGCGTTGGCTCTTGGGTAACTAAACAAAATTGCATTTGAAATGTTATGGCAATGAATTCTTCAGGTGATAGTGGTTACCATTACAACCATATCTTATTACACCAGTAAGGATTCCTGCAGATGATACCCCTGAATATCGTTTCAATATAGCACACTGAAGTGCAAGGTCATGTGTTGAACGGTGTATCGGTGTTTTAAAGGCCAGATTTCGGTGTTTAATTCAAGAACGGGTTTAAATATGCACCATTGAAAGCGGGCAGTAATATCAATGCGTGTGCAATCCTACACAATTTTATGGTTGCACGAAACCTTCCACTTATTTGCACATCAGATGCTTTACATTTATATTTATTAAGAGCGTCAGCACAAACATATGTTTGGATAAATGCTGACCAAACTCTACTGCAGCCTATTGATTACACCTTATTTGGCTACGAAAGAAAAAATGGAAAATTGTACCCACGAAGCGACCCTTACCGGAATTGTTGATCCACCCCTGTAAATGCTCATCAAACTGCCAAACTTGTTCTTGTAAAAAATTACAATTAAATTGTATTTCGCTTTGCAAATGTATTAATAATGATTGTCAAAATAAAAAAACTTGATTTTTATACTTAGCTCCTAAAGACGTTTGTTAAAATTTGATTTTTGGTATTATAGTTATTTATGTACCAAGGGCACAAAGAAGATGTTTATATTCGAGGGCAACGTTTAGTTGCCCGAGATTTATAAACATCAAGTTGTGCCCGTGGTGCATACAAACTTTTATTTTTCACGAGAAAATCTAAAAAAAACACTAATTTATATAATTAATTCGTAAAAAAAAATGTACGTGGCGTTGATTTTGTTGTCAAGGAGATTCTATGTTTATTGCAAACACGGCGTCTATTCACGGTGTCAACACGTATATTTTCGACCGCGGAAATGAATGAGGAAAATTGTGAAATTCCAGAAAACATTGTGAAGAAAGCGCAAAAAGCCAATGAAAATGTGTCACCTGGAACATCAGAATCCATATATGAAAAAGAATACAAAATTTTCCTTAATTGGAAGATTAAGAAGAATTGGTGAGTTATTCTGTTTATAAAATAATTATTTAATTGTGTTCTTCATTTTTAGTCAGAAAAATATTCACCCAGTTCCTTATGGTGAAAATACTCGATGGTCAAGACAACTTTAAGAGTAAACGACAACATAGACATTTCTAATTATCATCGTTTGACATATTTCTATAAAAAACCCAAAAGGTTATGTGGCAAAAAAATCCCGAGTTTTGACTGACGAACAAGTCATGCAATTTCTAAAAGATGCTTCCGACAACAGATATTTACTTCAGAAGGTAAACTAAGTTATTTTTTGATGATTGTAATTAATTTAAATACGAATGTTTTATGCAGTAAAGGTAGTTGGAGGATGAGTGAACACAATTCTAGATTTTTATATGTACAATACGTTATTCGGTGCTAGCAGAATGGAAGCAGAGGCAGAAATAATTCCAATAGAAAAGTTTAAGTTTACCTGAATAGTTTGGTATGAATAGCAAATTTGTAAATTGTAATCTGTATCTTCGTTATTAAATAAATTGTCAAAAAATAAATAAGTAGTTAAAAATAAACAATATTTTTTTTTTTAATTTTTGTTTAATTCGGTTTAGCAAAATAGGGCATAATGAGAGGGCATAATAACTCTTTATGCCCGCTCATTGTGCCCCGGATATAAGATGCCGCTTTACGTTTATCAAATCATGGATATAAAACAAACATTATATACGAATGAAAAATAAAATAATTTTTTTATCAACAATTGTTTTTAATTTTTAGACATGTATCTGAACATTAATAGAGTTTTTGTTGTTGAATCGCCACACAGAGTTTATTTTCCATATCTGAGTACTCGACTGAATTCCTTCATAGGAATTAAATATTTTGGGTCTTCAATTAGAGCTCCACATTGAGCATAATTCAAAAAGTGACGTGATGTAGCTGTGGTAAAAATTCCCGCGCACGAATTCGCCACCCTTCACGACACAAACTTCAACAATTCCTCCAAGAGTAACTAGTTTCGGCAAAATTTTAAGATGACGCAATCAACTTTTTGGAGGGGATAAGTAAATATATTTTGATTAAAAATTTATCATGCTTATAATATATAACTGTGAACCATCTGCAAGATTTTAAAGCATTCGGTTTTGCAGATTCAAAATGAGATTTCAAAATGTTGTTTTATAATTTTTGATTTTTTTTCCAAAAATCTGGAGGTTTAGGGTAAAAGCTATATACGGAGTCGTAAACTACATGTGTGGGACTATGCTATTTCATACAATTTAAAACCCATTTACTATGTGCAATTTTGAAGTGACGTCATCACATTATTGGTGGGGATGAGTAGGCAAATTTTGGTCGAGAAAGTCTATAATTATATATAGCTTTCGATGGATCAATTAACGATTGGCATTTCGGGTATGGTTTCATTAAATTTTCATGTAAAGCATAAGCTTCATCTCCAACAATTACATGTGATACCTTATCGTTAGTTGCAAGTGGTGCTGTTGAAGGAGGAAGTGGAAATTTATTGTTCTGAATGTTTTGGCCAAAAGTGATTTTCAAATATATTCCCGCATCTCCTTCTCTGCCGTATGAACTAGTGTCTACTGCTACAAATGTATATTCTGCATCTACAATAGCTAGCAAAACTATTGAATAGAATTCCTTATAATTAAAAAACAACGATCCACTGTTTTTGGGTGCCTTAATCTTTAATGTGCTTTCCATTTATGACTCCAACGCAGTTGGAAAAATTCCAAAACGACATATAAGCGTTTGCGCTTTTTCAAAGTTGTTCTACTGTTGGAGCTGGTAACATTACTTTAAATAATCTTTCTACGATGCTGTCAGCCACTTGCTTTATAATGAAACTGTTCCATGAATTACAGATTCGAAATTGGAACGCCAATGATCTAAATGACTCTCCAGTGGCCAAATACAACAATGACTATTGAGTTCATAAGTCAGATTTATTATTGAATATAATATAGCTTTCATGGGATGAGTTGTAAGACGCGGATGCTCGAGAAGTTCGGGGAACTCCAGCTGATGGAAAACGTCACTCGACCTTCAAAAGACGCCTGGTGGGGACAGAGGCAGTAGCCAACTAACCGCGCAAGACGAATGAGATAGCTCTGTTTTTGTATGCGATTGTTGCCGTTTTAAACAATAAATGTTCTTTTATATCCACATTTCTTACAAAATCAGAAGTGGGATTACCTGAGGGCTCACCTGGGCGGCCAAAAGCGAAACATTGCACATTGGCACATATTGTGCAATCGTGAGTGTTGTGGCATAGTACGCAAAAACTAACAATGGGTCGTCGGAATGCAAGGCGGCGTGCGCCCAAGAAACAGCGACGGGACGCGAGTTCGAGTTCGTCCAGTTCGTCGGAGGAAAATGCCAAGGTGCGTTTGAAACGGCTGGAGAAGCGGCTGAAGAGAATGGAGCGAACTCGGAGGGCGAATGAGAGTAGACCCGCACCGAGCCAGGCCGACGCCAACGTCATCCCCGTGTTCGATCCACAAAACAGCGCGCCTTCCATCAACACTTGGGTTAACCGGATGGACATGCTGGCTGAGGCCAACGGGTGGAGCGACGCCACAGTGGTTAACACGTTGACTGCCGTAATAGTCACACAAATTTCGATCCTGCTGGCCGAAAGTTTTCTATGTTAAAATACGCCAGCAATATACCCCTTGACTTGAAATAAAAGTATATTTTCATAAAAAAAAACAATTTTTCTTTTGTTTTGAGGTGAGAAGCATTATATGATTCACGCGGCCCATATAGTTCATATTTGCACTAATGGCCATGTGAATCATAAGCCGATGCACATGAAAACTTGTTTATTCTTGCAGAAATGCAACGCTCTGCAGTAATCTTGTTCATTCTTGTGCGTCCAACGGTAGTGTTGGTTTATTC